TCAGATGTCGGTCTGGCGGAACACTCCCCCTATTGAGATCCAGGCCCTGTGGGACTTATTACAGTTCCGCAGGGCCTGGAAAACGGAGTCGTTCTGCAAGGCCTATGGTTGAAGTGGCAGAGATCTACTTCTATATGGGCCTCCCCCTGCACTCTTGTCAACTGTGTTATCTTTCGTCCGCCTGTTCCCCCCAGTACTAGCTGCTATCCACCTGTAAATATACGGGGAACCTGCGTGGGAACATTCGGGGACGGATTGGATAAATGCTGCTGTCTACTTTGTATTATTAATAGTAATTGATCTTAGATCTTATCATTGCTTGGGTTTTAAGAATTGCTGCCTTTATATATTGAACTGTTACTTGTTGTTCTGTTTTAACCCGCCCTGAACGTGCTTGCGGGGGAGGGTGGGCTAGAAGCCTAATAAACAAACAAACAAATAAAAACAACAGCTCAGACAGCTTCTCCACTGACATTTATTAAAACATTTATGCCACATCTTTCCTTCTGGCTTGACAGCTTACAACAAAGTTTAAGCATCACAAATTTAAATCAAGTAGAATAAAAAACCTTGAACACCTCCCATCCTAAAAAAAGGGGAAAAAAGATGCCTGTTCATACTCCATTAAAACCCTGGCAAACAGGCAAGCCTTTCAGTGACTCTTGAAGATCTCCAGTGAGGGGCTCCTTTCATCTTATCAGGGAGCCCATTCCAGAGTGGGCCCAAGGTCCAGTTCATACCAGGCAGGACACCCAAAGTGGGGGAACAGCCAGCAGGTGGCAGTCTAAGGGACCTAGTTGGTACATGGGAACATTTGGGAGAAGAGTCCTCTAGATAGGTGGCCCCAAGACATTTACTTATTCAAATTTATATTCCGCCCTCCCCGGAAACAGGCTCATGAAGGGCTTTAAAGGTCATAACCAGCACCTTGAATTGAAATTGAAGCAAACTGACATCCAACATATCTACTTTAAAATGGGCAACATGTGTCCCTATCAACTAATCTGACTGCTGCATTCTAGACCACCTGCAGTTTCCAGATTGCCTTCAAAGGTAATGATAATGAAAGGACCAGAACTACAAAAGGAACCTGGACTCAGAATGAATGGCTGCAACTGGAAACACAGGAGAGCCTGAATATTACCATATATTGGTAATTGTGGGGTTGCATCCAAAGACAGAACCATGACAAGGTGTGTATGTTGTATTTCATTTGTCTTCAGACAGGCACAAGAGTCTGAAAGGCGACTGTCTTGCCTATGCCAGATGAACAACATGCATGTAATTGTGCTGGTACATATCCACCCCCTTCCACTGTATTAGACTCTTCCAACTGTTGAAATTTAGAGTACCTACCTCATTTGCCTACAAAACTCTGTAATATATAAAGTGCATTGATAGGACCCCTGCAGACCAGAATTCCTCCAAGACTGGTGAATGCCATTCTTTTTGGGTGCCTTGCTTAGATGCCCAAGCATTTTGACATATTGATTTATTTAACCAAAATGGAAAGCTCAGGAGATAATGCACTCAGTGGGCAGGAGGGAGAGTATCTCAGGTTCCTCTTGTTCACATGTTCTTCTTACCCTCTCTTAAAGCTGATGGGAAAGCAGCCAGCTGCTAATCCTTCCATAACAGCACTTATAGGCCTACTACCCTACACACCTTTATTCTTCCCAAGGGAGTTGCAGGCCCTTGATTTGTCTCTTTTATCCTTTGAGCCTTTCTTTTTTGACCCACTTGGTCCTTGATGGAGGACAACTGTGAGCTGTACCACACTTCCTGACTTAAGGATGCTCTACTCCAATACAAAGGGAAGAAAGTCGTAATTATGGGTGACTTTAACTACCCTCACATCAACTGGGCAAATATGTGTTTAAGTCATGCCCTAAAAACAAGCTTTCCAAACATCATAAATGACCAGGCATTGGAGCAGTTGGTCAGAGCCAACTAGAGGTATAGCAACTCTGAACTTGGTTCTGAACAGAGCTTAACTGGTGTGAGATGTAAATGTTGTGTACTTATTGTGAACAGTGACCACAATGCTCTTAAGTGCCCAAAGTCCAAAGCAATCACTTTTGATTTCAAAAGAGGGAACTTTGCCAAACTGAGGGGACTAATCAGAAGGAAGTTGGAAGGGAGAACTAAGAGTCAAACAGGACGAGAGAGAATGCATACCTCAAATCAGGAAAGTTACCAACAAGTCTACGCAGATGCCAGTTGTTTAACAACTCAAGTCTAGGAAGCCATGAAAGGCAAAAAGGCTTATTTTAAAAGGTAGGTTTTCCCGATTGAAACAAACAGAACGGAACACAGGTTCTGGCAAAACAAATTTTAAGTTGACAGTGAGGTAAGCAGATGGCCAAAAACATTAAGACAATCAATAAGCATTTCTTCAAATATACCAGAAACAGGAAACCAGCCAGGAAGGCAGTTGGGCTTTTGGATGACAAAGGAGTAAGAGGATTGCTTAGGGAAGATGGGGAGATAGCAGAGAAAATAAATGCTTTGCATCTGTTTTCACTGTGAAAAATGTGGGGCACATACCCACTGTTCTTGGGAAGGCCTGAAGAACTCAGTAAAGCTGAAATGATGAGAGATGTCTGCATGTGCAGATGGCATACAACCAAGGGCTCTTAAATAACTCAAATGTGAAATTGTTGATCTATTAACAATTATATTGTAATGTCGCTAAAACTGGCATCCATGCTGTGTAGCAAATGTCACTCAAATGTTTAAAAAAGGGCCTAGAAGGCATCCAGGGAATTACAGGCCAGCTAGTCTAACATCTGGTCCAGGTAAATTAGTAGAAGTGGTTATTAAAGAGAAAATTATTAAGCACATCAAGAAACAGTCCACTGAGGAAAATTAGCATGGCTTCTATAAAGGAAAGTCCTGCCTCATCAACCTCTCGGAATTATTTGAGCAGGTTAACAAGCATGGGGATAAAGGTGACCTGGTAGACATATACTTCAGACTTCCAAAAGGTTTTTGACAAGTTACCTCACCAAAGATTCCTGAGTAAGCTCAACAATCACAGGACAAGAGGAAGGGTCCGCTTACTGATTAAAAGTTAGTTAAATTGCAGCAGAGAATAGGGATAACTGGAGAGTTTTCACAATGGAGGAAAGTGAGTACTGGAATTGGGGCCATTGCTATTTCATTTGTTCATAAGCTATTTGGCATTGGGGCTAAACAGGATACTGGAGACAATACCAAATTATTCAGGATGTCAAAAACCAAGGTGGATTGTGAAGAGCTTACAAGAGGATCTTTCAAAATTGGATGAGTGGACAACCACGTGCAAATGAGGTTCAGTGCAGGCAAGTGTAAAGTGAGGTGTACTGGAACACCCCCCCCCCCCAATTTTAAATACACACTAAAGGAATCTAAACTGGCTGAGATTGACATTGAAAGAAATTCTGGGGTCGTAGCGGAAACCTTGATGAAAATGTGAACCCAGTGCATAGCAGAGGTGGAAAATTCAGTTTGGGTCACCATATCTCAAAAAGGATATTGCAGAGCTGGAAAAAGTACAAAGGAGGGCAACCAAAATGATTATGAGGCTGGCGCATGTTTCCTATGAGGAAAGGCTAGAGAATCTGGGACTTGTCAGTCTAGAAAAAAGGATGGCTAAGGGGATACATGATATGCATGGGGTGGAGAGGGAGCTTTTTCTTCCTCTCCCTGTTACAGTAGAACTTGAGGGAACCCAATGTTGCTGGAATATATTTTCAGGAAAGACTATAGGAAGTATTTCTTTACTTAATGAGTAACTAAACCATGGGATTCACTGCCAGGAGAGGCCGTGAGCACAGGTATCTTTAAAAGAAGGTTAGGCAGATTCATGGAGAGATCCAGCAATGGCTAACCTGGCCATGGTGACTCAAGGAAACCCCTATCTACAGAGGCAGCAAAGCTCTGGCTGCTTTCACATGTTGAATAATGTACTTTCAGTGCACTTTTAGCAATTGTTTGCAACTAGATTCTCCAAACAGGACAATCCAGTTGCCTTACTAAAGTCTAAGACCCAACATGTGTGAAAGCAGCTGCTGAACAACAGTGCTGGGAAGCAGCATCAGAGTACGGCCTTGGCCTCTATGGCCTGTTTGTTTGGCCCTCAAGGCAACTGGTTGGCTGCGGTGTGAAACAGCATGCTGGACTTGATGGACCATTGGTCTGATCCCAGCAAGCTTTTATGTTCTTATGCCCCAGGTGTGCCCGATCAGGCATATTATCAGCAGAGACCACCTCCCATCTGGCAGCCTGTCATAACCAAGACAATAATACCAGCCCAGCTGAGCTGATGCTTAGAAAAATTTCTGGCCTTATTGATGCCCCTGGCTACCAAGGTAGCCCTGCTGATTCTGGTCAAGTTGTGTAGCATGGATCCTCGCAAGAGAACAGAATGGTATAGTGCTTAGCATGTCAAACTGAGACCCAGACGGCCTACATTCAAATCCCCATTTTTTCTATAAAGCTCACTGGGTGACCTTGCAACAGGCATTCTCAGCCTAACCTTTCCCTTTATGAAAGGTAGTTTCAGGCAGGTAGCTGTGTTGGTCTGCAGTATAAGCTCACAAAAGCTTATACCCTGGAAAATGTTGTTGGTCTTTACGGTGCTACTGCACTCAAATTTTGTTCTTTCTCCAGGTCACTGCAAGGTTAAAATGTACACCATGGATGATATAACCCCCCCCAAACCCCCCCCCCCCAGTTCATGACACTGCCTTATACCACACATTTCAGAATAGTCCCCTTTGACTGGCAACAATTCTTCAAAGCAGAGAAAAGTTTCCTCATTACCTTCTACCTGAAATCCATAACTACAGATGCCAGGGTTTGAATTCAGGACCTTCATCTTGCAAAGCATGTGCTCTGGGACTAAGATACTTCCCAACGTTAGTGCCACAGGCCTCTGGCAAATGCCCCCAAACGTGGGCTCATTCTTCTCCTCCACCCCCCTCCAAACATAAAAACTCACACAGATATTACACAGGGAAACTTAATACTGTTTACTGTCTGCGTCACACATCACATTTTCCAATGTCAGCCTTGAAATGTGAAAAGTGGGCAACAGGTATAAATAAACTAAAAAAACAAAGGAAATAATACATAAATACAGAATCAACTTCTGGCCTTAGTGGGTGTTAGAGAATTGTGCGTTCAGACAGCCCCCTCAGAGCCCAGCCGACAAAGGGCAATTGTTAGTCTTTGCCTCTGTTTTTTCTGCTGTCCAGCAAGGGAATAAGATGCAGCTATCTTTTTACATAAAAATAATCACCCTCCCCCATCAAGATACCTGAGAAGGACCTTGACTAGAAATGGGAAGCGAGCAATATAAGTGTGGCCTCCCTTTCAAGGGAAGGGCCTTCTTGGCAGAGATTCCTTTTGCTGCAGTTTTTGAATCAGTTCCAGCAAGTTCATTTGGAGAGTCAGTTCCTGTCAAAGAGATAACAACATTTTTACTTCAGAAAGACAGTGTGCCCAGCCTCCCACCCCAAATGCGGTAGAGCACTTGCGGTGTGGGGGAATGTGTCAACAAAAGAGGTATGAAGGTGAGAGCCCTATAAGTAGCCACTGGCCTGGCTCCTTGTGCCAACAGAGAATCATCGTCAGGAAGCCAGGCAAGCAAGTTTATTACTCCCCCTCAAATCTACCTTTTCTGTCAAGCATTCAGCAAACCCCTTAGTCTTAAGTCCCTCTCCATTACTGCAACTAAGCCCAAGAACAATATTTATTTATTATTTATTTTATTCAATTTGTATCCCACCCTTCCCGCCAAAGCGGGCTCAGGGTGGCTTACATTAAAAGTTAAGAGACAATAAAACAAAAATTCAGTGCATACAAAACACATCATAAAATTCATATACACTGCAAATAACAAGTCACAAATAAATACAATTAAAGTGCTAGTGGCGGTAACTATAGGCAATGATGTAACAAATCTAACAGAATGTATGGCCAGAAGATGTTACTGTTGACATCGCAGGCAGTTACTGTTGTCATACAGGGTCTTATCCCAGTTCAATGTTGTTGGTAAAGGTAAAGGTTCCCTTGCTCGAAAGCCAGTCGAATCCGACTCTAGGGTTGTGGTGCTCATCTCCGTTTCAAAGCCGAAGAGCCAGTGCTGTCCGAAGACGTTTCCGTGGTCATGTGGCCGGCATGACTAAACACCAAGGCGCACGGAACGCTGTTACCTTCCCACCAAAGTGGTACCTATTTATCTACTTGCAATTTCTTGCTTTCGAACTGCTAGGTTGGCAGGAGCTGGAACTAGAGACGGGAGCTCACCCCGTCTTACGGCACCCGGGTCTTGAACTGCTGAACTACTGACCTTCCACAGCCTGCAGTTCAGCGTCTTAACCACTTGAGCCACCGCAGCTCCTATATGTTGTTGGTAGCGGCTCCTAATTGAAGGCCTGGTGGAAGAGCTCCGTTTTGCAGGCCCCGTGGAACTGTAAAAGGTCTCCCAGGGCCCTGATGTCTTCCGGGAACTCATTCCACCAATATGGAGCTGCTACTGAGAAGGCCCTAGCCCTAACAGAGGCCAATCTGGCATCTTTCGGTCCAGGGAGCCCCCGATCTCAGTCCTCTCTGGGGAACATGCGAGGAAAGGCAGTCCCTCAAGTAGACAGGCCCCAAACCATATAGGGCTTTAAAGGTCAAAACCAGCACCTTGAGGCGAATCTGGTATGCTATCGGCAGCCAGTGCAGTGCCTTCAGCACAGGCTGGACATGCTCCTGCACAGGGAGACCCATCAGCAGCCTGGCTGCTGCATTTTGCACCAGCTTCCGGATTTGTGACAAGGGCAGCCCCATGTTGAGAGTATTACAGTAGTCCAATCTTGAGGTGACTATTGTGTGGATCACTGTTGCCAGATCACTGCGTTCGAGGAAGGGAACCAGCTGCCTGATCAGCCGAAGATGGTAGAAAGCTGTCTTGGCAGTGGTTGCTACCTGGGCCTTCATTGTTAAGGAAGAATCCAGGAGCACTCCCAGACTCCCGACCTTCGGCGTTGGCAACAACGGCGCCACATCGAAGGCCGGTAGTGGGATCCCTACCCCTGGTCTGGTCTGACTCAGGCATAGGACCTCCGTCTTGTCGGATTCAATTTCAATTGTCTCAGTCTAAGCCAACCCGCCACGGCTTGTAACGCCAATACAACTGGAAAGAGCACAAATCCATCCTCGTTTATCTCCACCTCCACTTTCTTTTCTCTCTTATGTAAAAATTTAGATTGTAAGCTCCTTGGGACAGGAGCCAATCTTCTTGTATACTTAGCACATTGATGGCTCCACATGAATATGATAATCGTTTAATTCCCCAAACTACTTCACACCTTACTGCCAGATAACCCCTTTCTGTACTAAATCACCTACTAAGGGACCCATGAGCTTTCCAAAGGATTCTGTGACACATGCTAATTCAATGGATCCATCTTGTCTTACACTGTTTTTTATTGCATAGTTTTCTGCTTTTGTAATTTGGTGTTACAGCATTATTCATTGTATGTCTTGTACTGTTTCAATTGAACCGTTTTTCAATTCTTTAATTTGCCTTGAATCTTAGCAAGAAAAGCAGGCTATAAAGTAAATAAATAAAAATAAAATTATCTTCTGTTTTTGTTGTTCCCTCTGTCAAGGCTCACTGTATGATTTCCCCTGTGGTGGCACCCACCTTCTTGAACTCCCTCCCTAGCGAGGCCCACTCAACCCCTTTTCTAATCTAGTTTCGCCATCAGGGCAAAATATCAATTTGGTATGGCTTTTCAAGCTGGTTGATATATGTCTTTCTTAAAAATCTTTGATACTGTGCTGCTAAACGGTTTGTCTGCTGAATTTTAATGGTGGCTTTATTGTACCCGATAATTTTATGAACATATGATTCTAGTCCCATTATTTTTATTGTTGTTTGCTTTGAACAATATTTTTAGAAAGTGACTTAATAAAGGAATAATTTGGGTATGCCTAGAACTGTGACTCCCGACTGCTTTCTGCACAGACCTGTGTGTTTGTAGTGACGTAAAACCCCGATACACCAGCTTTCTCCAAAGTGCTCTGCTGGTCAATGACTTTCTGATCCAGTTCCAAGACAATTTTCTCATCCATCATGTGCTGTTCCTCATGAATTCGCTGCTCCATGGCCTGAGACAAGGGGAAAAAGACAGCAGAAAACTCACACCGAGAGAAATCTGACAGAATTGAAAAGGACCATAAAGGTCACCAAGTCTAACCCTCTGTTGTAAAACAGCACTGTCCATCCAGTTCAGATTGTTCTACACCATCTTGGCCACTGTGCCACTTGCAGAAATGAGTGAACTGCAAAAGACACTTTGAACAAACACCTCCTGACAACTTTTGCCAGTGAAACAAGTCACATGCAAATGAACAAATGCAGACCCACCTGGGTCACCTGCCACTGGGACAAGGGAAACCACCCCTTCCCTGACTCCAAGTCCCCATGCAAAGCCCAATCAGTTTGATTTCAGTAGAATTTTTTCCCCTGTTGTGCAACCCAATGAACCTCCAACTCTCCTCTCTAGTTACAAAGTCAGAGGGGGAGAGGAAGGAACCTGTCAAAATGTTAGGATAGTGAAGAAAACACTTCCTAGTCCTACACAGCCACAACAGAGACATCAAAGTAAGTTATAATCTGTAATGTTATCCAACTCTGTTTGAACTAGAGAGAACAACCACACCAAAGGACACATCCTTTAGACTGGCAACTCCTGGGGAGGAGGCAGGCCTTACCTCTAGTTCCTTCTGCTGAGCAGCTTTCAGAAGAGGCATGTTGTGAGGTTTACAGCACTGCTGGGCTTCCTTGTGTCTATGAAGCATCTCCTGCTTGAGCACTGGCAGTTGACAAAAGCAAAAGCACATCATTTGTTTTTTGCACTGCAATTGCTTTTGCTCTTGTTTGGAGCAAGCCTATTGCTTTGCCCCTTCAAGCAAAGTTTTAGTGGCTGGCTGCCTGCAGGAAGGGAGAGAGGCGTGAGGGGAGTGGCAAAACTGCCCAACAGCCCTGGGCCAGCCATGGAATCAGACAGTAATGTACTTATTTTCTGTGTATTACTAGCTAGCAGCAGATGTGGCTTTTGCCCTGAGTTACCTGCTCCCTGAGTCACAGTTGAATGATTTAAATCAAAACAATTTAAGTAATGCATTTGTTCTCTCACCTGCTAGGTATGTGGTAGTGTGCATGTGAGTGTGTGTGTGATAGGAAGAGGCACAATATCACCTGCCATTCACACCTAGTACTCCAATTTGAAATGATGCCCAAATCCTCATCCTGAGCACATTTTCTGCATTATATCCATCACTTCACCATTAAATTAGTGTGTGCAGATGTTTATGTGCACGTGGAATGTACACTTTTACAACTCTTTAACCCCCCTGACTGGCAAGTACAAGAGGATGAATGTAGATTAACCAATTCATGTTAAGTGATCTTGGCCGTGGCCCAGAGAGGAGACTCAGTCCAGGATCTCTTCTTGCCTCGGTGTTCATGATGCAGCTTGAGCCGCTGGTTGTAGAGGTTTTTCTCTGTCAGGTGCTGAATCTCAAGTAAGCCCTGGACAATGTCAAAGACTGTCCCATCAATGAGAGCCAATGCCAGGTCACTGAGGATGGTATAGGACAATCGCTGCTGGGAAGAACTGCAGGGAAAATACAAGGGGAGAGTCAAGGAAAAATATGTACCCCTGAGGCTATACAGACAAGAATACATGTGAACACATGAAACTGTCTTATACTGAATCAGAGCCTTGGTCCATCAAAGTCAATATTGTCTACTCAGACTGGCAGCTGTTCTCCAAGGTCTTAGGCAGAGGTCTTTCACATCACCTACTGCTAGATCTTTTAACTGGAGATACCACGGATTGAACCTGGGACTTTCTGCATGCCAAGCAGATGTTCTACCACTAAAGCCACAGCCCCTCAAGAGTAGTGGGACAGCCCAGTCTACCCTGAGTTTGTCAGAGCTTGGAAGCTAGGCAGGGTCGGCCATGTTAAGTACTTGGATAGGAGACCACCAAGGAAGACCAGGGTTGATATGCAGAGGAAGGCCACCTTCTCTCATCTCTTGCCTTGAAAACCCCATCAGGGGTCACCCTAAGTCAGCTGTGACTTGATGGCACCTAATTATCGTATCAGTGGGACAAAACTGTGGGGAGCCATGCTAATTTATAAGAAAACTCCAAACACAACAGCTGTGCAATACTTAAAAAAAATAATAATAGGACCAAACGAAGTTCCACAAAATAGCAACCTTTCAAGTTCCCCCCGAACTCCTCATCAGCTACAATGTTTGGCAACTTGAATGATAAAAGGGTTGGAACACTTTTCCTATGAGGAAAGGTTAAAGCGCTTAGGGCTCTTTAGCTTGGAGAAACGACGACTGAGGGGAGACATGATTGAGGTTTATAAGATTATGCATGGGATAGAGCAGGTAGAGAAAGAGGTACTTTTCTCCATTTCTCACAATACAAGAACTTGTGGGCATGAAATTGCTGAGCGGTCAGGTTAGAACGGATAAAAGGAAGTACTTCTTCACCCAAAGAGTGATTAACACATGGAATTCACTGCCACAGGAGGCATGGACGGCTTCAAAAGGGAATTAGATAAGCATATGGAGCAGAGGTCCATCAGTGGCTATTAGCCACAAGGTATAGATAGGGGCTCTGGGGCAAGTGATGCTCTGTCTTCTTGGTGCTTGGGGGGGGGTCAACAGTGGGAGGGCTTCTAATGTCCTGGCCCCACTGGTGGACCTCCTGATGGCACTGGTATTTCTGGCCACTGTGTGACACAGAGTGTTGGACTGGATGGGCCTTTGGCCTGATCTAACATTGGCGTCTCTTATGTTCTTAATGTTCAGTATCCAAAAGAAAGGAATGGGGCAGGAACAAGAAGGATGTTTCAGGAGAAGCCAATTGTGTAGTTCAATTATTTCTATTCCACTTTGTTTTAAACTGACCCAAGGCAATGTACAAAAATGAGAATCAATAAAAACAGGAAAAACCCACATAGGGTATAAGTAACAAATATAAACCTCCTTTAAAACTTAACCATTCATATGAAATACTCTCCTAAAATACTGTGTCGTCAAACGGTAACAAAGAGGACACTCTTCTTACATCCTTTGGACAGCTATTCCACAAGGACGGAGCAACCACAGAAAATGCCTGTTGAGTGGTCAGAGGCCAACCTCAGAGGAAAGGACAACCAACAAGCCCTGACCTGAGAAGTGCAGCCACCAATACCATATCTATGGGATGTTTTCAACTATCCAACCTGAACACTAACCCAACAGGGGCATCAAATATTTGGTGTGGCTGGTGTGCCCGCACAGGTTTCCACTCTCCTTTCCTACATGGCGTTGATGCTCTAGATCAGTGATGGCGAACCTTTTAGAGACCGAGTGCCCAAACTGCGACCCCAAACCCACTTATTTATCGCAAAGTGCCAACACGGCAATTTAACCTGAATACTGAGGTTTTACTTTAGAAAAAACAACTCATACATTAACTTAAGATGATCCAAACAAAGTAAGGAAAGCAATCCCAAATGCTTTCATTTATTTAAAATTATTTGGCAGAGAATTCGACACTTTAATGATGGTCTGGGCCTGGCTGGGGTGATGGCACGCGTGCCCGCAGAGAGGGCTCTGAGTGCCACCTCTGGCACCCGTGCCATAGGTTCGCCATCACTGCTCTAGATTAAATTTCCTGTGCTGGGCAGAGAATCAGCTGATGAACTCAAGGATCCATGATGAAGATCCTTAAAATGAAAGGCATGATGCATCTACTGCAGACTTGAGCCGATCCAGGGGCACCAAAGGCCGCTGGACCAGAGAGACGTAAAGAAAAACCACTTTCCCTCTGATAGCGTAACCACACGCCTTGCTGTAATCCTCCCAAGCAGCCCGTAAAGTAGATTGCCTGGGAGGCGGGGCGAGGAGCCAGGGCTGACAGGCAAAAGTTCGCCTCAGGGCAATGCCGAGGTGTCTGTTGTTATTATTATCCATCGAGAGAAATTATATATAATTATTCTGCTATTAACAGCCTGGGCTTGGCTGTCTCTCCCCCCCCCCCCACGGTGCCACGACGAAGCTGCAGGCAGAGGCACAACCGGGGCAGTTCGCGCCCAGCCGAAAGACGAACCCCTCCCCTCACCTGGGCAGGTCCTTGACCAGGGCCTGCAGGTCGGAGAGCAGCTGGTAATGGCGCGCCTGCTGCCGGGCCTGTTGGTCGCAGCCGGAGGAGGCCTCGGCCTCTTCCCCGGCGTAGCCCGTCCTGAAACGCTCCATGGCCGCCGGCGCCAGGGCCTGGGCCTCCGCCTCTTCCTCTCGCAGGGCGGGAACCGGGCCTGCTCCAACCGCTTTGTCCGTCACGTGAAGGGGCGTTCCCGGTGCCTCTGAGCATGTGCAGACTCCCGGCCCCTTCCCCCAAAAAGAAGTTACAGAAGGCCCTTTAGAGAAGGGTGAAGCAACTGCGGGGGCTTCACGAAGCTCGGAGGGATCATTTCAGAGTTAAGCCCCATTACTATCCCAGTCCAAATCCACGCGTGCCTTCGTAAAACGGGAGGGGAGGGGAGGGGAGGGGAGGGGAAACCAGACCTCGGAAATTTCATTCAGGGAACTTCTAGCAGCTCTTCTGGTCTTCCTGTTAAATATTAGGAAAATAATGAAAGTATGCACATCCCCCCTCCCCGCTTTCCATGATTTCCCAAGCAATTTTGGGCTTCCGGGCAGAAAAGTTGGGAGTTAAAGACTAGCCGTGGTAGAAAATAGTTCAACAGGACTTTTACTCGCAAGGAAGCATTCACAGTCTTAACGCTTAGCTCCTAATTGTTCCAGTAGGATTTATTTCCCGATTAGTTATCAGCATTCACAACCAATGCTCCCTGTAAGGTGTGAAGTCTAGCGAGCAAAAATTCTACTTTGTGAACTACTACTGGCATTAAAGTTATGAGCGAGTGATTGGCTACTGCATGAATTAGTTTGCTCTGGAGCCATTCTTCCCGAGCTAAGACAAAAATGTGTGAGCTGGAGGCTAAAAAACTGTGAGCTAGCTCACACTAACTCAGCTTAGAGGGAACACTGTTCAAACCCCCCACCCCCCAATCTCATTAATTTTAAAAATTAGACTAGTGGTTTTATGGCTCCCAAAGCAGTGAAGATTTTTTTGTGTGTGGAGAATATGGGCTGTGGTATCACAACGATGAACTTTTAAGCAAACCAAACAGATGCAGGACAGTAGGAATCATGTGTCCAAACACCTTGAGCAGGAGACAGAATTGCACTCCCATGCTCTTTGCTATCCATTTTGTGAAGCACAACTTTAAAGTACCTTAATAAAATGGATCTTATTGTGTTATAAGTGTGCTGAGGTTTGCAACCTTTAAAGATACACCAGGCTGTCTTCCTTTAGACTATTAGGAACCATGTTAATTTCGGATGCCTGCAGATGGACCCATTTGAAAAGGAATACCTATCCATGTGGTTATTTCCTTTTTTATTAACAATCATAAACAGCATTTGGGCATGCTTAAAAATGTGTTATGTGCAAATTAGCAAAACTGGAAAGAGTTCCTTTTTAGGAGAGCTGCTATGCCTAGGAGTTGCAGTTACTGGATCATTCTGGAGAGGCCCTCTGAGGACGTGCAGAGTGCTCCCCCCTCTGAAAGACCAGGTGTTCCCCTCCCGCCCAGAATGAGGTACAGGTAAATTTCCTTTGGGCATACCAGGAGGGCCTTCCCTGCACCCTGTAGGTTGTAAATTCTATTTTGAAAGGTCAGTGATGCTAGGATATCCCAAGAAACACATGTATGATTAGGGGAATGCAATGGCTGAAATGTGTGCCAGAAATTCCCTACCTCACAGGCTGTTGTGAGGATAAAATGGAGGTGAGTGTGTGGATAGCTCATGTATATGCCACTTTAAGCTTTTTGGAGGAAAAGTGGGATAAAAAGATGTTACTTCCATCACCTGATGCCTCTGCCATGAATTGACCTGCTAGGCTCAGGCAAGTCATCCTCTCTCCCAGCCCCCCCCCCCCCCCCCGCCCGCCATCCCTGGCATATGTGGATACAGTGGCAACATTACAGGTGAACATTCTGCAGCCTGTGAAGCTTCCTCTCTAATGCTGTTCTGTTGTATCGTGGAGGGGGACTCTAGGTTTTTACATAGCCCCCTTGCTTGCTTCATGGCCTTGATGGCTGGTAACTACAAGCTACTCATTGCTTGGCAGTAGGACGAACTCATTTTGAAAATCCGGAGTGCAGCCAGCAAAAGAAGGAGATAGTGGAGTTTTTGCAGCTGGATGGCAATGGAGAGCTTGGGAGGGACTCCAAGGTGATGCTTTTGTATGAACTGATGTTGCTTCAAAGACTGGCCCTGCTTGTTGCAGTGTTTGCCTGCTTAGGTTCTCTCTCCACCCTACGAAGTGTATAGATTTGCAAATAAACAGGTATGCCTCCAGTACTCAAAGGAAGATTGGCAGGCTAAAATGCTGGTACCCCCCCCCCCAACCTTTGGGGTAGCAGAGAGTGTAAAACAGTACCTTTGCCTGAACCAATTTATGGCTACCAGGTAATCTGTTAGCTTTCGAATTCCTCAAGATGGATGTTTTAGAAGAGTGGGGGAAAGATGACTGCATTCTCTTTTACAGAGACATCTTTCTGTACTGTTCATTTTAGGCTTCAGAAAAAAAATGGAGAAAATCCTGGAAGACTGAATAGGTCAGAATTGGCCTTGTGATCTCTAGTTACAAAAAGGCCTGTTGGGAAAGAAACAAATAGGGGTTCCCCCTTTAAAAATAAAAATATTCACAGTGGCAGCCAGCCTCTGGTGCTAATAAAAACTCATTGGTTCCTGGTAAGTCAGAGAAATGGAAAAATGGGGAAATAAAGGCTAGCTAGAAATACAGAAAATGCACTGGCTACAGAAATGTAGTTTTAAAATCATCCACATTGAGGATGAGTAACATATTAGCATAATAAACATATATAATTCTGAAGAATGGCCTTAGTGTCAGGATAAAAAAAAAATCTGCACAATGGGGCCGCGTTTTGAGACGTGTGATTTTTCTATGGACCTAGGTTCAGGTTTGCGTAAGAATTCAAAAACTGAAAACAAAAGCAGCGAAGGGAGTGAAAAAATCGAAAAACCCAAACTTAAGGAAAAATGCTTGCAGAGAACTTTCTGAAGAATTGTGTCCTCAGTGCTCCTTTTTAAAACACTTTGAGTACTGGGCATGTGCTACCAGTTTCCCAGTCTGCCTTGCCTTTCTCCTTATAACACCCACACATTACTGGTACTACTTGCAAGGATCCACCTGGGGCTCAGAAGTGCTAATGCTTGATCGGTGCCACTATCTGCTGGCTGCTTAGTTGGGAGGAGGTTTATGGGGTAAGCAAAGGAGAAGGGAACCACATTGCTGCTGCAGCCTGTTAAGAGGATATATAGAGAGGCCAAGCCATTAGTTGAGGCAGATCACATGGCTCATAATGAAATCCAGATGCTACTGAAGTGATGACACTGGGCTGTGATTTGTGCTCCCCAGTGCAGACTAAACAGGCAAAAAAAAAAAAAAAAAAGGAACTTTGGACTGAGTCTTGCCACAGCCAGCTGTGCACAGACCTGAATATAAATCAGGTAGTGGTCTATAGCCATCTACTCACTGACAGAATGTGCACATTTTTTTCCCATTTGCCTTTTAAAAAACATCGTAGTCCCAGTTGGTAGGCTGAAGGCAAGAAATAATCCAGAAGACTGTGTTGCCTTCCCTGCAGGGGCTGGTCTGTTATACCATATACATGACTAATTCCTTCTGTGCTGCATAAAAGTTTTCAGTGCAGTCCTAAAGAGACTTACACCCTTCAAAGCCCTTTAAGCTAATGGGTTTAAAAGGGTGTAACTCTTTTCAGGACTGCACTGTTTGAAACCGTAATAAATAGGAGTCCAGAATCAGCCCTTCAATAGGGCAAGGTCAAATGGCAGATGCTCAGTGCCACTGAAGAACCTGCCGCACGTCATAAGGGCATTCTTGTGGGCAAGATCCACTGAAACAAATGAGAGATGTACAAAAGTATAGCAGGGTGTCTGTGCACCTCCTGGGCACTTCCATGGGGCTTGCACATAACATCTCTGTGGACTGCATCCCATATTGATGGGCAGAGGAAGAAGGACTCCATCCATGGGGCAACCTCTCTTCCTTCAAATCCTTCTCACCTCTTTGGGGAACCCTTCATATCAATCTCTTTGTCCTATCTCCAAAGAAAAGAAAAATACATTTTCTTCTTTCACAATAGTCTCCAAAGACTTTTTTCTTTCCCAAATGTAGGTGGTAGGTTTAATTTTTGGATTTGGGGCAGGGGAGAAATGAGCTCTTTGATCTCTTCCATTTTCCAGCTGGAAAAAGCCACCCATTGGAGCTACTTTTACCTCCATTGGGGAAAGTTACCGATATCATAATTTTTCCTCCAGTGGAGGGAAAAACAAATGAGATTTGGGGTGTTCTTCCCAGCATAAACAATGGTAGAGGAAGGAAGGGTTAAAGAGCCCCCCCTCTTCTGTTTCTTGAAAAAGGCACCCCGGTGACTGCATTTGGGGAATTAAAAAGAATAGTGTTTGAGAATGGTCAGAGAGGAAAACATACTATGTAGCTTGAACATTAGCCTAAGTATCTGTAATCATATTGGCTCATATTCTTATGCCCTTTGTCTTGGGTTTTTTCTACATCCCCCCCAATTGTCTTTTCATCTTTCAAATGCAAGAGGAGGGGGCTTTTTTTAGCATTGTGGAAAGCACTCGTGTACATCGATAGTGCTTCATAAATAATGAAGACTATAGTACCAGGGTGCCATCTGGAGTTTCTGCCTCAGGCAACAGAACACGCTGGGCCAGTCCCAATGTCTCCACAGAGACGGGTGGGTGTCTCCACAGAGCCGTGAGTATTGACAAGGAAGGCTGCTCCTTAGGGACTGGCAAGGCAAGATAATCTTGAAGGACTTTTAGGGAAGTTTTGAACTGAAGATCGACAAGTGGATGATCCTTTCCTGTCACAAAGAGCAACACCTCTCCTTGAGGGCCTTCCAACTTCAGGGTCACTGTGTTGGGGGGAGAGTCAGGAAGAAGCAAGCAGAGCCACAGAGAAGACTCACTAAGAGTCAAAAATACATTTTTTTTAATTGAGGAAGCTTTCCATGGAGATGCTAGACTTGCGTACCAAACTGCCAAGACACGCGGCCTTCAAGGCGGCCTTGCTGTTGCTGCCAAAAGGGGCATCCGTCGAAGCCAGCTCGAGGCAGCACGGCTGCACGGGAGGACGGTGCCCAAATCATCACTGGGGGAGGCTACGGGGCACGCGGGTCCAACCAGGTCTGGGCTGCCATACATGGCCAGCACCTGAGGCCCCGGTGTGAGGCCTGCACAC